AGTGACCAGAAGCCACCGGCTGAAAGCAAGGGAGAACAAACAACATTAAAGTCAAAAGAAAAAAAGTCTCTATCAAGTAGTTTTCTGTCATCTTTCTTTATGCTCAGCTCACTGCGTTCAATTAGTCGACGGTCATTGCGGCGTAAAACGCCTCCAAAGCAAAGTTTCTTAAAATCAGCTGAAAGCAGCTCCGAAAGTACGACAGCAAACAATGCAACTACTCAGTCTCGTCCCACTTCAGCCACCTCTTCAGCATCAACTTCATCTGCATTTAGCTCCATTTCGTCCATTTCTTCATCTCAGCAAACGTCAAGCAACTCATCCACATCAGGCAGCTTCACATTACCTGACGATAGTGTTCGCGCTGATGCAGATGTGCCCTTACTCAATGGATTCTCTTCTCTCATGATGGCTGATACAATCATTGAAGAGGAAGAGGAAGAAGAGGAGGAGGAGGAGACGGCAAAGGAGAAGACCACAGTGGACAGTAGTCAACGGAAGGTGTCCATTGAGTCAAACAAATCGACAACATTGTGCGATGGAGGTCATTTAGAGAGACATTCGCACGACATGTCTGGCAGCATGACGCTGCCTCGCAGCTCATCCAGTTCCTACGTTCTATCGAGCATGTGCCCACACAACCACTTTTCTATCTACGGTCCAGTTTTGTGCTCCAACCAGCAGGCTGCTAAGAATTTGACTATTGAAGCGACGCCCAGCGCTNGCTGCCTCGCAGCTCATCCAGTTCCTACGTTCTATCGAGCATGTGTCCACACAACCACTTTTCTATCTACGGTCCAGTTTTGTGCTCCAACCAGCAGGCTGCTAAGAATTTGACTATTGAAGCGACGCCCAGCGCCGCTCTGCTTCGCTACTGCGTTCGTCTGTTTTGTCCACTTCCATACTATGACATTCGTGGCAGTAATTCAAAGTTTGATACAAAATTTTATGTCACTTGCAGGGTAGTTCTCTCTACTTCCAAGACTGACAAAGACAAGTTGCCAATTACACTTCCTGAACAGTACAAAAATTACGAGTTTACGGCACGTGGTAACGGAGAAACTCTTCGAAGTGCTCGAAACATGGCCGCTCAGACCATTATCGACAAACTGAAAAATGCAAACATTTATTTTGAGTGAAATGAGCAAGACAGCTTTTTTATTTATTTATTCATCTTTCACAAAATTAGTATTTCAAAACAATTTTATCGACTTTGTAAATGTTTGACAAAATAGCAGATCATGTTTTATTTTTCTATATTTTTATTATTTAATAAAAAGCATATTTTTCAGGTTTTTAAGTCAAACACAAGCAAAATTTTAATAAATGCTTTTGTTAAAAAGGAAATAATGTTTGTAAATTATACCACTTGTGTTTTCACATTGTTTGTTGAAGTTTGAAGGTACATCAGGTTACTCTGATAATTGAAAGAAAGGTCACTGACAATGACCAAAAGGTGACTGCCGAAACAGCATTAAACAAAACGTAGAGTGACAATGTGATTGACTTACTTTGAAATGTGAAGCAACAAACAGTGATTCTACAGCATCTGCCTCTTCCGGACATCCTGGTGCACTACAGTGAATGGTAGCTGCCAATATAGATCTCTGCCAAAGTTATCGTTCATCTGCGCTTATCAACTGTCCAGTATTGTCGCTCGATCAGCTGCCACTGTACCAGCATATGATCAGCAGCGCACCAACTCGGCACCCAGTCACTTGCCCTGACGCCTGACGTCGATACGCACCAGAATTAGCTTCCTTTGGCTGCCGAGCACTGTGAGTAATATCCTCGCTTTGCACCGTTATCGCATTTCCGCTGACTGCTATACGTTGGGTTTGAAAAACTGAACAAAGTTCCGTCATTAGTTTGCGTGAGCAAATTTCGTTAGTTTTTGCTGCATTTTTTCAAACTCAACTTTTCGATGTTGATCACGAGTCACAGTGATGTGCCAAACATTGTAGGTCGATTAGTCTCGTTGTACTTTCTTGTGAGTTTGTGTTTGCATTGCCCTTTGAGTTTCCTTTTTGTACTTGGTTTAAGATTGGACATCAATACTACGCACTGACCTTTAACCTACTCCTCTGCTACTACTTGATTATCAGTGCTTCCCCTTTCAGTGGTCAATAGTTTTGCCGTTTCAATACAGACAAAAATGTGCTAGTTCACTTACAGAACTAGAGACACTTTTAACACACAATTTGACATGTCAAGGCAAAAAATGCCTCCTGCGCTTCTTTTGACCACTTTGGTTCTGGTCTTCTGCAGTACTTTTCATTGTAAAATTACAGACCAAGTTTTATCTTCATCCCCAAACTGGACAACAAGCAACTGGACCAAAACTTCGAAATGGTTTACGTACAGCACAACCACCTCCTCAACTGTGGATCCTTTCAGCTATTTGGACAATGACTTTAGAGGGGGTCGCTTGCTAGACCGAAGTAAGTTGTCTTGATTATCATTGCGAAGTATGTTGAGTTAACCATTTTCCAAATAGAAAACAAAAACTGTCCATCAATTCGACTGCCCAATGGCTGGGTGAGACTGCGATCCAATAACCGAATTGCTCGTTTCTCATGCAACCAGCACTATGAACTTATCGGTAATCGCTACACAACGTGCGTTAGGGGACGTTGGAACAGAGATTTACCCGTTTGTGTTTGTGAGTTTTCTTATATACAAATTACTTTGTTTGTTTCAAGTTAACTTATTCTTTTTTGGGTAGCATATGGTTGTCCAAAAATAACTCCTCGCCCGCCACTAAAGTCTAAAAAGTTCAACGATGGTCGAGTACTTGACCTTTCCTGTGATCTGGGCTACTACCTCAAAGCCAACATCAGCACTACAGCGATTGATTCTAATGAACTCAACACAATGTCCTCCTTTCCGTTTCAAAACTTGCGATTGTATTGCGTGGGCAAAACTTGGATCATGGACGACCCCAGAACGGATATTTCTTCCTTTGTTGTCGGCAGAGTGCCAATCAGCGGACTTCCTTCTTGTGACAGTGAGTAATATTGTCATTGCTTGAAAACATTTTCCTAACTGTATTTTGAACCTCCTTTTCAGTATACCAAGCACCTGTTTCCACGTCAATGAACTGCTCATTTGAAGACTCACTTTGTGGCTGGTTTCAGGACCAAGATGATGAGTTTGATTGGTCGCGCAATCAGCATACCACCCCATCTCATCTCGACGGCACAGGTCCATCCTTTGACCATACCTTTGGCCAGAACTCCTCTGGGTACTACCTGTACCTGGAGAGCTCTTACCCTCGAACCCCTGGCGAAATAGCTCGTCTGTACTCTCCCGTGTACACCCATTTGGAGGGGACGTCGGATGCCTGTTTTGAGTTTTACTACCACATGTACGGCAAGGCAATTGGCGGTTTGCGAGTTTATGTTCTCGAAAAGTCAAAGGCACTCAGAGACTTGGTGCCCAAATGGGAAGTCACTGGTGATCAAGGCGATGTTTGGATAAAAGCACAGGTTGAAATCAACGGAGAAAGCGGCGATCAGCTGCAACCTTTTCAGTTGATTTTTGAAGGCATTCTCGGTCATGGCCACCAGGTACGTACTAAAGATTTTTCTAGAACTTTAGATTTAATCTTTTTACATAGGGTGATATTGCTATCGACGATCTGGCTCTGACCTTAGGACAAAATTGCACAAACTACAATAGCTCTATGGCCCTGTCACCTGATCTGGTTGTGGATATTGAGAATGAAATTAAAACGGCAAATGACACGTCAACTGAAGGACCAAATGCAGAAGGAGCGTCGTCGTCCTTCACTCCACAAACAGTTTCAAATACTAGTGAACTTAATTCGACGCCAATTATCCCTATCAAAAAATCAAAGAACAGCACCAGTGTACAGGCATTGATCAATCAAGTAAAAGATCACATTAAAACAAAGCTAATTCCAAGCTTGGTAAAGAAAATCTCTAGCAGCAACTCTAGCTTGTCAGACACGACCTCAATTCGACCCATTATTTCTCTCACCACGCCAATGTCAATTGGAAAACCCAATGGCAGCTCATTGCCGTTTGACTGGGATAAGACGCTCAAGGACAAGCTTGATAAGAACATTCAGAAAGCAAAAAGTCAAAATGTTCCACTTTTAGTTGAGTTTCACAACTCGACGGCAAAGACGCCTACTGGCAACGGAGNTTTGACTGGGATAAGACGCTCAAGGACAAGCTTGATAAGAACATTCAGAAGGCAAAAAGTCAAAATGTTCCACTTTTAGTTGAGCTTCACAACTCGACGGCAAAGACGCCTACTGGCAACGGAGTAAGGAAGGAAGCAGAGTTGACTACTGCCAATAGCCCTACCAGCACCACCATCCTCCCATTAACAATTGAGTCGGGAAGTTCTCCAACTGAGGATCACCTTTTGAACTCAACCGCCACTTTGAAGTCATCACTGTCTGGTGCCAGCAGCTCCCAACAGCCGAGAAAGCCCTTCAAACTGTTTGCCTCTTCATTTGCCATGTCAGTATTGACACTTCTCGTGCTCCTAGTGATAATCATATCGACACTGTACATTGCCTACGTCTATCGGCCAACACAGTTAAATCGCAGCAATCTTGATCAGTTTGTTGCAAGTTTTGTGAGACGGTGTAAGGGGCTAAGTCGAACACCGGACAGCAATGAAGAGGCTGATGAGCTGTTGATGATGGGCAATAACGTTTCGGGCGATGCTGCACTCGAATCAAACTCCACCGGTTATCCACCGAACAGTGATCATGCCTACGACAACGCTCATTTGAGTGAAGGCGTCGTGTACCTGCACTCGGCAAATGAAAAGTATTGATAGACTCAGCAAGGAATATCTGTGTTTAGGTTTCATTCGTCTACACTTGTGCACAGCTGCCACGCATAGTTGCATTTTATGTACTTGATTTTTATTGTATTTTGTATAATTACAGTCGATTAAAACGTTTTAAAGAGCTTTTTACTGCTTCACACTCCCACGTTGTTTGGTGAGCAGGCAGGTGCTTAAGAGCAGGTGATGCCGACCTTCTTTTCCTTCGAAGACTGAGCACCATCTTGGTTGACGCACCAGCAAATGTTCGTTCCGGACTCGCATTGCTTTCCATAGTAAAGACCATCTCTCTGACACTTAGGCACCCAGGTACCGCTCGGTGCTGCGAAGGGAGAAAACAAAATAATTGTTAAATAGATAGCTGAAAAGACATGGCAGACTTACGATCAATGGGTCGTCCGTTTTTGTTCAACTTCTTATCAACTTCGTATTTTTTCAAGTCACAAGAGCAGAACTTTCGGTTCCTTGACGGGGAGGTCACCTGATCGCCGGATGGAGAGGCACAGTAGCAGAACTTATTGCCAGGAAAACATTGCAGTGGGGCGTAGTCACCATTGGGCAGACACTTGACGTCCAGCTTCATTGGGCCGGTGTTCTTGGCTTCTCGGTCCTAAAAAATGATTGTGTTAGGTGCTGCGCTAAAGGTTTTGCTGAAGTATACAACCGTACCTTGTGCTCTTCACAGGCGGACTTCGCCTGAGCAGAGGCGGCCAGGGCGACCAGGAGGACGACTGCGATGAATAGTTTGTTTGCCATTCTGTGGACTGTGGTGACTCTTGACAGCTGCCACAGCAACTTTATATACCAAAGCCTGCAATGCTATTTCATTGTACAGCTTGGGTTGTTTTCACGCTGTACACAGTAGTACACCTCCTTGCAGTGAGTCTGCAGTCTTTCCATTTGTCGATTAGAGCATTCGGTGATAGAGGCCAGCAGACTAAAACTAGTTTGCTGTTTCGAAGTAGCAGTGAGGCTTGTCTATCTCGGGGAACTTCATTCAGCCGCCTGCATCACATTACAGCATCACACTGTTGCTATCAACGGTCTGAAGTCTAGAAGTCAGAGGACTGGACTTGCTGAATGAGCAAAACTGGTATTTTTGTTTATATTTACCACTATGTTTAGCACTACTTTTACTTGTGTGGCCTGACAAAACTGACTGACTTGTCTGATTGTTCCGTCATTAATCAGTAGTCAGTGGGAACTTGCAATCTTGGCAGGCAAAAAATGTCTTTTCACAAAACGATATTTAGATTCAGAAGATATCAAGCACACAGTCAGGTGAGTGATCGTTTATTATTCCGGCTTTCTCAGTTGCCTGGTGCTAAGTTGAAAAGGTGCTATGGTAATTAGTGAGAGAAGCACCGATATTGCAACAATCTGCAGTGTACACTGCCTGGTGCAACCATCGTCAGTGACCATGAGTGGCTGTCTGTGCTGCTGTGCCGTGCTGATGGCCACTGGTGGCTGCAACACCTGAAGAAAGCGATGCGTGAAATTAGTCGATCTGACTGAGTGACCAGCTGTCACTTTTTGTTTGTTATTTAATATCATACTTATAATTGCGTAATCATTAAAACAGAGGTAGTTCTCTAGAATCAAATTAACAATTGCGTTGAATAAAAAAGCAATCAACAGCTGAAGGTTACTACTGATGAAAGTACTTGTTCCGTCTTTCATCTTTTTAAACTCCGTACTTTGCGGCAAATGCTTTGGAGGCAACACTATAGTAGTCCTCCGGAAGGCTGTATCCAAAAATGCAGTAGCACATAAAGTTGTCCAGGTCCAGTGACGTAATTTTTTCGGGATTGATGTGCTGAAGAGGACCTGTAACCAGTGGAACAGACGTTTTGATGAACTCATGATCCACTTGACTGTCACTGGAGAGAACTGATTGTGTTCGTTTTGCATCTCCCTCTTTACTATTTTTGTAAGATGCAGTCACAGCCAGTGGTTGCTCTTCGGATGCCAGCGACTCCACAAGCACGTACTTTAGTGGCATCCTAAAGCGAAGACGATCAAAGGTACCAATCCGATTGCTTTGCTTTACAATTCGAGCCTTCAACAGTACTGCTTGACAGTTTTGTGAGTTGTGCAGGCTGCTGAACTGACACCATAAAGTGAGCGGTTCTTTGGCTCCGGTGAATTTAATGTGAACTCGATCTTCAACAAACAGCATCGACTTGAGTTGGGGCCAGTTTCGGTGGTGATTTACGGTTTTGTTTTTGTCTAAAAAAGCAATATTTGATGTTGTAATGGCCATACTTGTGCAATTGGCCAATTTACTTCCGAAGGGTGCATTTATGATGGTGATACGGAATACTTTAAGAATCACCATTTCAAGTTTTTGATTCTGGAAGTTGTCTTTTTGCCTTTGCCAGTCATTTGTCTGGTTTGCCCTCAACAGCTGTGACTACAGCGAGTTATCATATCAAGGCAAACTTTATCATCCTTATCGCCTTTTTTCCTTGAGACTTTATTTCAAAAAATAAATTGTAAGAAAACATTCACAACTATTTGTCTGCCTTTTTCTCCGCCTCTTCGATGATACCGTCCAAAACTGACTCCAATTTAGTGCCCAACTTTTCAACTCGCTGTATCTCTTTGTCTTTGTCGTCAATGTCATCCAGTTCGCGGTTGTTTATGGAGTTGAGAATGTCAAGCAGTTGAAATTTAGACTTTTCAATGCGCGGCACTGAAACCATTCCACTTTCGCCCATCATGCTAATCAGCGGGGTAATGTTCTTCATGATGCCCATCAGAGCTTGTTGGGCCTGCATCAGGTCATTGGTGGTGAGCATATTTGAACTGCCAACTGCATTTGACGGGCTATTGGTACTGCCGGGAAAGAGGTTAGGCCATGTCGGGGAGCTTCCACTGCTCACCCCACTTCCAATCGGTTTACCTGGTTTGATTGGCTTTTGCAGTTCTTGTAAAAGTTCATTCAAATGTTTTCTTTGCTCTTTGAGCTTTTTCAAAAAATCTGACGGATTGTTTGGGGACATTGTCGGTTGAAAAACCGGTGACCATCTAGTAGGAAGGGCATTTGAAGGCACCCAGGGCTTTCTTGTTGAAGTGATATCAAATCCAAAAGCTGGAGTAGTTTGTTTGTTGGCTAGCGTTTTTAGAATATCATTAATTTGCTGTTGCTGCATATTTTGTTTTTTGATCAAATTTTCTAATGCAGCCTTTTGTTTATTTTTTTCAATTTGTTGTTGCCGATTTTGTTCATTTTCCTCAAGAACTTTCATTAGTTGGCGGAGTTTGTTTGCGTCATACTTTGGTTTCCTCGTTGGTTGATTTGCAGTTGAAGTATCAGTAAAGGGGTTCATTAGCGATGAAAAGACGTTGCCGCCGTTGAAAAAGTTCATCCAAGAGCGAAACATGGTCATCATCGGGCTAAATGTCTGGTTCAGATTTTGGGCTGCCCCGAGCAGCTGAACCAATCGAAGCATCGCCTCGTAGTTGAACGGACTAATGTTGTCAGTGTTCAGGTAGTGATTTGGCTCTGAAGCAATTTTGTTGAGCTCATACACTTTTCTCAGCTTGTAAAGGAGAGCTTTCATTGTGTCAATGTTAGCCTTTATCTTTGCATCTGTAGTCTGAACATTTTCGATTTTCTCCAAAGCTTGCATTAAAGTGTACATTTTGTTAACTTGAGAGTAATCGGCAGACCTGTAAAGTTCATTGGGTTGAGTCCCTGTAAGTTAAAAATGCTCATTAATGCCGATGATTAAACTGATTGAACTTTACCTAGAAACAGTCCGTTGAGTCGGTCAAAGAGATTATACACCCAATTGCGACCAACTCTATTTCTGCTACTTGGCTTTGTCGGTGTCAATCTTTCCTCCAGTTTACTGTTGATTATTCTCAAAACCATTTTCTGTAATGACACCAATTCTTTGCCAGTGTCGATAAACTGGTTTTCAAACTGTTTTAGGTTGCCATTTGAATCATAGGACTGACAAGCAGCGCCAAACTGAGATTTCACCAGGCGAGTCTTCTCTTCAATTGGCTGGTAGATAAAATGATCATGTTCACTGAGTTCAGTCTCAAGTGCGGTAATCTGTTTCAAAGTGTAGTTTCGGTATATCTCTGCAACTGGTTCTGCTGGAAAATGCTCCAGAGCCGCCACAGCCTTCTGACCTCCGCCATGGTTGACAATCAGTTCAGCAAGAAGAGTTTTGTTGGAGAATTCGCGAAACAAACTTAGCACAAGTTTGCGAGTAGTGTCGTCCAATTGTAGGGCACCATTACCCAGTTGAAGTAAAGTTGCCCAGAGAAGGACCGAAAAGAGGAGTTGTTTAAATGTAAATTGCATTTGACAATAGTTTGTGCAGCANGGAGAATTCGCGAAACAAACTTAGCACAAGTTTGCGAGTAGTGTCGTCCAATTGTAGGGCACCATTACCCAGTTGAAGTAAAGTTGCCCAGAAAAGGACCGAAAAGAGGAGTTGTTTGAATGTAAATTGCATTTGACAGTAGTTTTTGCGGCTCAAGAGATCATTGCTCTATGAAATCAGCTACCTCTATTTAAATAGCCATAAACGACATCGATAATGTGTGCACCCCCATATATCTGTTTTTGCGTTTCAAATGAATTTCATCTAACAAATAGAACGGTCAATGACCTGATACAATTTAAACCAGACTGCTTTTCAGGATTGTTCAAATTCAGACGTTTTGTAACAATGCCGTTCGAGGTTTTTATGTGCAAAATTTCACCACTTTTATCGTGTGTTATTGATAAAACTGTTTTTATAAAAAGTGAAATACTAAAAACTTTTTTGTAAATAAAAAAAGTTGTCACGCTAAAAATATTTAAATCTCGCGTTGTCCTAAAAATGCGTTTTGTTTTTGAGAAAACGGCAAGAAATGCACTGTAAACAGCACGTGACGTAGTGTCTACTTTCGACAATGCTTTTTTGCTCCGCCCACAACACGCAACTCGCATCCGAAGCTCTCCTGTAGTCACGTGTAGCCGCAAATCTAATGTTTAGGTTTTGAAGATACCGATTTTCGGATCGCTTGCATCTAGTCTATTTGCCATCCGGTTAATCACCTTTGATCTCAACGACTCACACCATGGAAGAAGGCATCTACCACGATGAAGTAGAGATCGAAGACTTTGACTACGACCCAGACACAGAAACTTTCACCTATCCATGCCCGTGTGGGGATTTATTTACCATTTCCAAAGTAAGTTAAATCCGTTTTGAAAACACATTTTGTAACTGTCTTCTTTTTTAGGATGATCTACTGGGCGGAGAAATTGTGGCCAGTTGCGTCAGCTGTTCACTGGTTGTCAAAGTTATATACGAGATTGATGACATTGAGAATATCGTCCACTCAAAAGCAAAGTTAAAAGTGGAGACTAAACCAAGCGAAGAGTTGATCAAAAATTAAAAGTCAGTATCACCTTTTCAAATTTTATTTATTTGGGCAAACATTTCTAGGAATATTGTTTTATTTTGTTATTCATATTGTTATTAAATGTTTCAGTTGTTACTATCAATAACTGTTGTTGGGCTGCAGTTCACTGAGTTCGCTGTTGTGCAAGTAGTAAAGTTCTTGAAGCTTCTTCTTCGTGACATTTCGACTAAGATTGAAGCCAAAAGTGAGAACAATGTTGAACATTGCGTAGAGCGTGATGATGGAAGCAATAAAATTAATGAGGTTGAACAGGAAAAGCATCGAGATGTAATCATCACAAAATGTTTTCAGACGATCATTCTGAAAGTACAGATACATTGTTTCGTTGCTCCGCAAACCAATCAGTGGCACGAATTCGCGCATATCAAGCGCTTGACCAAGTTCCCCAGGGCTGATGCCAATCTTATAGGGATCCAGTGGCATCATTTTGGGAACGTTTGAGCCACTTGTGCACAGCTCCTTTAAGGTAGTGAAGATGAATATGAGTAAAGTCACGAATAGTGTTACAGCAAAAGTGCTCATCAAGGTCAGGTGGTTAACAAAATAGAGAATTTTCTGCACAATGGCAGAATCAAGGCAGTAGATTCGTTCCCGGCGATAGTTCATCGTAACGGAAACAATACCAGTACAGCGGAAAGCTATTACAAGATTGTAAGTCATTAAAAGAATTGTATACGCGTAGTATGCGACCACAAAGATCTTGAGATCCCGAAGCCTAAAAGACAAACAAAAGTTAAAGTCAATCAATGTAGACCAAAAAGATCACTTAACTCACCAAATGTAATCACGCTTGAACATATCATAGCTGAACTTTTGAAAAATAAGCGACGCTTTGATGACACAGAAGATGTTGATGGATATGCCGGCCAGGAAGAGCATGTAAAAGATGATGCTCAGGTAGGGAACTTTGAGGAACATCCTTTGAAGAGAGGCTGCAATTTAGAGATGGTGAGATCGTTTAGAGCCTTGAAAAATCGAACCAAAGCTATTACCTTTCATGTTTTCACTTGGGTGCGGAACTCCTGATTTAAGCAATCAATTATTATCTTGTGATGCGACCAAACAGGTGCCGCACCCTGGCAACCTTATCAGCAATGCCTATGTATTTTATTGTGCTCGCACAGTTTTGTGTTTACATTTCCGTTACTCGGGGTGATATTTGCTACGTTGCACATTTTGAGCATGGTAAAAGCAAATATGGTTTATATTGAGGATAGATTCAGTCCTAAACTATCGTGTACATATAGAGGCTCAGAATGGTATAGAACATAAGAATGGGAAAGACCACAAGAAAGTACTTTCCGCTGCTAATATAAGTCGAGAGCATTTTCAGCGTCGAGGCAGCCGGGTAGATG